AAAAACCAAGGCTAAGTTGTCAAAGAGTTACTACCCAAAGACAAGACAACTGGATTTTGAAGCTAGCAAAAGAGAATATAGATATTTCAGTACTAGAAATTTGCTATGAGCTTCTAAAACAGAATATAGATATTTATATATATACTATTCAATAATGTTTTGGTAAAGGTAGAGCTTATTATTATGCAAAACTTACAAAGCCTTTGCTCAAAAAAAAACATTAAAAAAAATAGCTTTTATAAGCAAAAGATATAAGAATTTTGACTAGAATTTTGCAATATTTATTAACAAAAATACTTTCTATTTGAATCAACAGTTAAAAAAGTCTTGATAATTTATTAGGGCAAAAAAATAATCTGTTTTGTCAAGCATCTATTAAAAGTTCTTCTAGCTTTAAAAGATTAGTTTACTTTATACAAAACCTTAATATACAATATATAACCACTCTGTATAAAATGGTTTTTTTATTTTCTGCTATAGACCTTTTTGGTAAAGATTGTAATAGTTGAATTTTGCAAAAAAACAATATTCTGAAGTATTGTTTAAAAATTGCAAAGGTATGAAAAAAAAAATGAAGTCAAAGTTCTTCCCTAACCATCGATATTATTTGATTAAAACTTGATTGAAAATGTTTGAAGATTTATGAAAATAAATCTGACAAAAAACTTAGTACTTTGAAAGCACAAATAACAAAAGAATAAAATCAATTACCAAAGAAATATATAGCTAATTTGGTAAGAAGTATGAGACATCATATGAAGACTCTAATTAAAACCAAGATTAATTATACTATGCATTGATTTTTGTATAATGTTATATGTTTTTAAATACAAAAATTTTTTTCTACTATATCTCTGTGCTAAGTTATGGGTGTAAAAAAATTTTTGTTGAGCACTATAATCATTTAATCTTGTTGGTATTACTAAAGTTACAAAAATTTATTCTAACTAATTAATAAAAAACAGTAGCTATCATACAAGTAAAATATTCAAAATATTGTTAATAGTAAGTTTTAAATCTAATTTATCAATATAATATTTAGAAATACAATATGATAATTTAATCATTTTACTAAATCACTACACTCTTTATATTAATATTTTATTATATAGTTTGCTCTTTATACAGTCACTCTCTATATAGTTATAATTTTTTATAATCATATTAATAGGTGATTTGCCAGTCACCTGGTTCAAAATTTTTTTTTTATACAAAGGCACAGTGTCTGTATCTAAAACTTTTTTTTATACTAAATAAATCACTCTTAGGCTTCTAATAAAAGTTGTAGAGCTCATAAAAATATATTTAATATTGTAAGAATATTAAAATTACAGTTGGGCATATTATCAAAAATAGGCAATGCAGATTGCATCTATTATAGTAAAAAATTGTAAATCAGATGATTCTAGATATTTCGATTGCAGCATATCATATGTTAGTGAGCCAATCAAATCGTAAATTTTTAAAAATGAAAAAAAATATAAGAAATAAATAAAATAAAAAAAATTATTACAAAGATCGAATAAACCAAATAAACATCTTTATTTATTAGCTATCATTATTCATAACTTTTACGATACTAAAAAACTAAGCTATATTTAGATTTAACATCATCAAGACAACCAAGATACATATTATTCTTCTAGCTTTTGATTTTCATATTAAAATATAGGTATCACCAAGCGAAAACCAGACTTCAAGCTTTCAATTATATTTGGTGCTAATACTATTATAATACTAATAAATCAAATAAATTGTTTGATACAAAAAATAATTGAAACTTGAAGTCTAATTTTCTCTTGACGATACCTATATATACTGTAAACCTTATTATTCATAATTGGTCAAAACTATTAACAATTGCTAAATTACTCAAAAGACACAAAATATCTAGCAACACTCCATATTATTATAATTTTTGGCTCTAAAATTTAAAAAAATAAATTAATATTAGAAAATAAAATTCGTATAAAAAAAAAGTAACAAATATAAAACCATTTAGTTTATCCTGAATGCAGAAATATTATCTCAAAGAATGATCAATACAAGATTACTAAACCCTGCTGCAAATACAAGCTATAACTATAAGTATAAGCTTATAGAAAACAATATTCAGAACATTAACCAAAATTTATACAAAAAAAAAAAGATAAAACAAACCAAAAAAAATGAACTTAAAATAACTATAAACTCAGAATCTACCTGTTTTTCAGATCTCATTCATTTTTATACAATAGACTGATCTCGCTTTGATCTCTTATGATCACAAAACTATAAACGTTCTACTTTCTGTATATTGAGTTATTAACTATGAACAAATGCTATAAAGATCGTAAAAGACTAAAGAATTTAGCTAAAAAAACGTGATTGTGAGCCAATCAAATTTCAATAGAATGATCTAGAATCGATTTCTATTTTTGGTAATATGCCTGACTGAATTAGATTAGTAGTTCTTGAAAAATCTTTAAAAAGCTTCTTTTTCACATATAAAATTTTTTAAAAAAAAATTGATTTTTTTTAAAGAAATTTTATATATGAAAAAGAAGTTTTTTAAGGATTTTTCAAGAACTACCAGGCCAATTTTAATATCTTTACAATATTAAATATATTTTTATGAGCTCTACAACTTTTGTTAGAAGCCAAAAGTGATTTACTTAATATAAAAAAAGTTTTAGATACAGATACTGTGTATTTATATTTATAATAAATTTTATATATAAAAAAAAAATTTTGAACCAGATAAGGCCATATAAACTTAATAAATTGGTTTTCATAATATAAAAGTTTTGAAAGTGACCTGGTAACCTGGCTTTTAATTTTATTTTCAAAAAATTTTGTATATAAAAAACATATAAAATTTTTTATAAATTTTTTAGAAAAACCTACCTGGATAATAAATATACTTAAAATTTGTTTTTAAAGTTTTGTAAAATTTGACCTGGCCAGGTTATAAGAACTGATTTATTAAGTTTGTATGGCCTAACTGGCAAATCACCTATTAATTTATAAAACTAACTTATATAAAACTTAAAAATTTAACCTTTATATAAGCACAATTTTTTATAAGTACAAAATTTCTTGAAACCAAGGGCATAACTATAAAAAATTAGACTATATTAAATTTTATTTAATATTAGCTTTATATCAAAATTAAATAATAATAATTTAAATCTAATATTTCTTATTTTGATCTGTAATTACTAATTATTATTTTTAAATTATAAAAATATTTTGTTTTTAATTAAATTTAAATTATTAATTGGTGATTCACCACTCAACCAGAAAGAGTGCATAGTGTAACATAATGCAGTTTACATATAGAAATTAAAGTTTTTGAAATATGAGCTGCTTCTATTTAAAACTTTTTTCGTACTAAATTAATCACCTTTGGGCCTTTAATTGAAGTTGTAGAGCTCATCGAGATGAATCTAATGGTAATTAAATCATCAAAATTGGCTTGGTGAATTACGAAATATCTTCGAAAAACGTTTTGCTGACTATGTAAAATTCTCTTGGTGATACTATTGTTGAAAGAAAGAATTTTACATAATCAACAAAATGTTTTTCGAAGATATCTCGTGATTCACCAAGCCGATTTTGACGATTCAACCACTATTAGATTTATCTCGATGAGCTCTACAACTTCAATTAAAGACCCAAAGATGATTAATTTAGTACAAAAAAAAGTTTTAGATAGAAGCAGCTCACATTCCAAAAACCCTAATTTCTATATATAAATTGCATCATGTTACACTATGAGCTCTCTCTGGTTGAGTAGCGAATCACCAATTAATTTAATTTATAAAGATTTAAAAATTTAATTACTATATATAAAACCCAAATCTTGCTTTAAAATTTTAAATTAGCTAAAAATAAAATTAAATAATATTTATATAGATCGAGTTTACTAAAACACACTAGTGGTATTCAACACTATAGTGATTTTAACTAATAAAATTTTGATCTGTAATGTAATGTCAAGATCAGGTGTAATATAAAAAATCAAATCAATTCTTTAATTTTTTAAAAAATCTTTAATAACTCGAAATTTTGATTATAATAATTTATATTTCCCAATTCTAGCTAATAACCCTAACCCTAATATTAGCTAAATTTTAATCTTTTTTTAAATTTTTGTTTTGACATGTGGTGTTAAACACCACTGGTGCACTTTAGTAAAGTTGAATTGGATAATAAAAAATTGTAATAAGCAAAGAGTTTAAATAAAAAATTTACAAATAAGATCTAAATACAATATTTAGTAAATTAAACCTTTCAAATAGGCAAAGACTAAAATTATATATATAGCCAAATATACTCACCTTATGCAATGCCAATATCATTATACTTATATGTAATACTATCTCTAAATTCAATAAAAACTTGCTTATACAAAGGCCACCTTAATACTAAAAAAAAAAAAAAATCATATTAAGTATCAATACAGTAATACAAATATTTTTAACAATCTTTTTAAGTTATAATCTAAACTATGTTCAAAGCCTCGAACTTTTTATCTATTACGCTGATGTGACCCAAATTCACATTTGAAGTTTATAAATATTGCTAATCAATATATAAATTTTAATATGCATGAGTTGGCATAATCTACTTCGTCCCATCAGAGATATCAAGGATGGAGTTCTCAAACGTCCAACAAAGGGGCATCTCAAGAAAAATAGGTTAGGTAGATCAAGAACAATTACTTGCATTTTGTGAGATGGGACATTATATTAAACTGTTGGTGAAACAAAAAAACACAACAGGTTAACTTGAGTTCTGCCCTAAATTTGCTTATCAGCAATCAAAATTACACTTGCTTTTATCACTATTACTGTAAATAATAATATTGTTGTGGTATTTTAAGAACACGTTTTTATTTTCCTACATTTCCATTTGATGATAATCATCACTATCATCATCACTGAAACTCTCCCACTCATCGGCGCCATCATTATCTTCATGGTCATCATCATCATCATCCGATGTGGATGAAGGTTTTACAAGAGAGTTGATGGTTTGTAAGATTTCTTGTGTGTGTTGTAGGATGCCTTCGTCATCCGATTTAGTCGTATGGTATAACTACGTTGAGTTTAAATATACATATAAAGGAAACAAGGTGTTTTTGAATGGGCAATTTGAGGAATTGGGGATAAGTTTAGCAATTATAAAGAATAATTTTGAGAGTAAAGACATGTATATATATATATTTTTTTTACCTTTTCACAAGTAACCAAACAATCGCGGGCGTCTTCCCAATGGACCAAATGATCTTCTTTATTTTGCAGCGAGTCTTGACCCATACAGTAATAACACCATCCGTAAAGATACCATATATCGACTATTTGATCATTTTCCTTTTGCAATATTTCAAGAACCGAAAGTGCTTGAGTATATTGAGAAAGCTCAAGGAGTAACTTTACTAGAGATATTCGGATGTCGTAAGAGGGTATTAATGGATCACCTTTAAAAGTAATAGAAATAATAAGTGTATATTACATAATGTATAAATGAATAATATATATAAATAAAAATAGATAACAAATTTATGAATACCTGGTTCTAAATTGATCCATAAACTTAAACTTTTTTCCAGTGCAATTTTTGCTTCTTCGTTTCTTTGCTGAGAAAGCCTAACTGAGGCTAATAATTGATAAACTTCAGGATTTATTGGATCGATCTCCAAAGCTTGATTTAAATATTCTTCACATTTTGATTCAGCATCTGATTCGAAACTTTAAATACATTATTAGATGAATAATTCTTTTTCTACTAATAGCTTTATTAGCTTACCAACAGTCAGTTAAATAGATTTCAATCATTGAACATAATGCCGTAGAAATTTTACGGTTTAAAGATTCCTGTGAATCTTGTGATGATGATGACTTATTGGAAGTAATTGATTTGTGTTCGTCAATCATTAAATTAACACCACATTGAAAATTTTTAATAGCTTCTAGACCTTCACATAATTGACCCATATACATATATTTTGAATATCCTTGATTCGGACTTATTGAAATGGCTTTTAAAAAATGCTATTTATTATTATGTAAACGATGACAATATATATAATAATTAAATATCTTGTGCACAAAGGAAATAAGTTTCATTTATAGAATAAAATCATTTCTTTAAAAATCAATATCGCCATTAAATACCTCTTTAGCATCATCGAACATTCCTAATTCTATTTCCACCATTCCCAAAATCTCTAAAACCATAATATTATTACTTTCCATGCTCAAAGCTCTTTTAGCAAACTGTAAGGCTAACTGATAGTCACATGTATCTATCAAAGAAGAAATTTTAGGTAATAAATCTGATACTGTATAAGAATCTGTTTTTAAGTTATTTTTGTCTGTAGTCGACATTTTTTCGATTTTACTTTACGCGAAAAAGTTTGACGCATTTCTGCATTTATAACAAGATCGTAACGATAATCTGGGCTGATCACAAATACTGCGCCACGGCCCATCGATTATCAGTATGGATAACTTACATTTACACAATGTACAATACATGAATGAATGAATGAATTCTATTACAAAAACTCGTGTATTTAAAGATTATTTACCAATAAAAATTACTATCGCAACCATTTCGAACCACTATGTTTACCTAGACCATATCGTTCACAAATTTTAACTACATCTGGTAATCCACTCAAATTTCCTTGAGCAACTACCGTCACTTGCCCAGTACCCTGCCCTTCGTTGACTACATCCCCTCTAATAATTTTCCTTGCAACTCTCACAAGATCTTCTAATGTAACATCATCAATTTTTTTACACATCACTTCCGCTGGGATTTTAAAACCATGAACTTGAACCTATAAAAATATCAGTATATTATTCGGAAACATAGCCTTAACTCAATGTTATCGGTTAAATTATAAGAAGTTACTAACCTGTCTGCCTAGATCCTCTAGCTGAACCATCCTGGATTCTAAATTCATTAGTAAACTACTTTTTAGTTGATTCTTTGCTCGCGCAAGCTCCAATTGAGTTACTCCTCCACGTCCATAACTTGTCACAGATTCGAATTGCTTGGCAATTACATCCACTAATGCGCGATTGTATTCAGGACGACATGATGCCATAATTCCAAAAAGTCCCGAATCGGTATAACAATGATTGAAACACATACAAGACTCTACCCATGAATATTGATTGAGAACGTTAGTAAACAAACGTGTATACATCCCTTTTCCTGGTCCACCGGCTGAAAACGATCCACCTCCACCAAGTAACATTTGGAGTATAGCAAGTGCATATATATCAGGATCATGGATCGAAAGTCCTTCAAATGATATATAAAGATGGGTGTGAGGCTGTGATTTGTCGAGTAAAAGTGTACCACCTGTATAATGTGCTTTTTGCGTCGCAATGGTAGAAGTTGCTGGTTGTTTTGGGTGAAGTATCGATGATGCCGCTGTGGTTATTGTTTTGTACAGTGACGTTTTTGATTGTTTATAGTTTGATGATGTGACGGAGAGTGGCAATGAAAAATGTGAATTGAAATCTGGTGATCTTGGTATATCCCCAAAATGGTTGCTAACTAATTCCACAACATCTTCATGCTTTGCTCCAACGGCTGCCACGACTATTCGCTCAGGACGATACCATGTTAACATATAATCTCTTATAAGCTCCGGGGTAATTGTGTTTAATCTTTCTTCTGGACATAGCATTGGATTTCCCAGAGTATTGTTCTTATAAGCAACCGTATGAAGCAATTCTGGCATGATCATTTCAGGTTTTTGCCAAATTTCCTGAATTTCATAAAGTGCTGTCCGTCGCTGTTCTGCAACTTCTTCTGGGTCAATAAGTGGGTTGCGAATCACGTCAGAAAAAAGCTCTATAATCTTTGGCAAATCCTGACTAAATATGGCTGATTGGTACATAATAGCTTCACGACTGCTAGCACACATAATATTACCACCTAACGATTCTAAAATAGCTTGTGTTTGTTCACTTGTACGAGTTTTTGTACCCTATTAATGCATTGAAACTGAAAGTCAATATCTAAAGTGTTGATTGATAAACGAAAAGGATTAATTTACGCGACATTATATACCTTAAACGCCGTTCGATCTAAAATGTGGCTTACTCCAGTTGTCTGTGGAGTTTCATATCTTGAACCTGCGTCCACATATACACCTACTGCCGAAAAGTGACCTGGTGTATTTTCTGTAGCGACGCGTATCCCGTTGGGGAGGGATGATATGAGACTTCCTACCGAAGGTATTTTGGTGTGCCGAAATACTTTCGATAAATTCATCATGCAAAAAGTGTAAAAATCATACGTATAACTTAAAAAAGGTGAGAGGTTTAAACCTCTTAACGTTAAGGCATTATTTAATACCGTTTAAAAATTTTTTTTTAATTTCGGAAATGCTGACACACAACACACGTGATTTAAATTTTGCCATCGCATGTTACGTAATGTCTTGGTTAGCAGTCACACGATCAAAAATCTTCCGATGCGATAGGGCGTGATTTTTAAACCTTCTCTTAGTATTATTTAAAATTTAAACTTTTAATTCTAATTGAATTTTCTGACAAAGCATATCTATTATCCGTTTATAAGCTGAAAAGCCGGCAAAAAAGTTTTCCACCGTCTGCGTAAAAGTCGTCCTTAAGAAAGCATTCTGCGGCTGTAACCATAATGCTTACCGTTTTTTTTCCGGCTTTTTTATTAAGTAAAAACTGCAAAAAACGTTTACAATTTTTTTGTTATAAAGGAACTGCTGTGGACATCCAAAATCCAATCAAATCGTAAATTTTTACGATGCAAAAAAATACAATAAACCTACTCAATTCTTAATCACTGCGTTTTAGATACTCAAATAAAGAGGTTTAAAGTAGAGATAAATCACATGCATATAGACAGTCAATTAACTGGTATATAATTTTGCACCCAGAAAATGTGTACCAGGTTGGGATCGGATGATCGTCCGGAAAGATAGGTCGGAATATTAATAACATTCAGAACTAGCGCCAGAAACAAAAATTACGTATTTGCATTAAATTCCGTTTCCACTTACAACATATATACAACACAGAAATAATTTGAAGTTTGCATTTTAAAAATATAGCTCTATTTCTGTTTAATCGTTTGGTTTTAGTTTATTTGTT